CGAAGCAAAACAACAGAAATGATCGTCCAAATTACGAGATATGCTTCAGGACCTAATCGGAGTGCGAGCTGATTGCTTAGCTGGCTAGTGATCGTGCACGAACGTGACACGATGGAGTACCAAATGGCATGGATGCTTGACAGGAAGCCTTCAGCTAAACAGGTTGACTTAAACAGTGAGGTTCAGCATCCAATGTTCAGTAATGATTGCTGCGGTCAATAAGTTTTGGGGAATTATTTACCGCTGAACCATCATCATTTCATTGACCCGTCGTATCAGAAGAATTTTCAGCATTGACTGCTTAGAAAAACATCTATTATTTCTCAAAAATATCCTGGCTCAAAAGGGACACTCGGCTCATTCCGTGGAGAACATGAAACGAAATACAGAAAGAGAAGGATTCACTTCAATTGCAAAGAAAACACTTTATATGAATCAGAACTTCAGGCGAGACTTATTGGCATATCTCTTGAAGAGGAGAGTCTGTAGTTCGTTAAATAAGACTTTTCCTGAAGCAACATTAGGAAAGATGTCCTCTAGCCTCTCAGTCTTCCGTGTATAACTACTCTAATGTACACATATGAGTTCACCTGCTCGTGAGGAGTCAGATACATAGGTTGTTCTGTTTGGGTTCTTTCAAAATATGTTAGAGAACATTACCCAGTATGGCTGCGAACACGTGGTACTGGTTCGTTTAGAAGCGCCATAACTGAACACCTCATCAACGCCTGGTACATCAACTGACTCATCACTGACAGTTATTTGCAAAGTAAACAGAATCGCCTTTGGTGACCTGCACGAAGTTTCAGGAGCGTATAGAATCACTGACTGACTTCACGTTAATGTTGAAAACTGACTCCTTGTTCCTTGTGCTTAGTGCAATAGATTTCTGCAGCATTTCCAACTCAGAAATAATTTTAAAAATGCAAGTTTGTTGCGAGGAAAGGAATGTGCTGCACCTACAAGAAGACCTTAAATGATCTGGACATTGAGAGTAGTTTATGTCTGATATTACACAACCTCAATATCTGGAGGCGAAAACCAACAAACTGGCAGAAGAAGCAAGTAGTAGAGACCGGATTTCAAGTGAAAATAGAGAAGATTGACGTGATGAAGATAACCAACCAGCCAACAACTACAACAAGTACCAATCACGATTAAAGTAATAAATTTGAAAAGTGTCACTTCATTCAATTATCTAAACAGAATCCTTCCAACTATAGGCGACAGCACAGGTGAGGAAGTTTTCTGCACTCAGTCAGCATCAAGAATAAAAATTCGGATTTTCAGCACCGATGTTAAGTCAGTCAGCTCTTTCATATATCTCAGAAACCTGGCCTGTGTGTGTCACGTGAAGCATTTCCAACAAGCCACGGCAAACTTTGTTCAACAGCTGCCTTCGTTGGCTGAATGTTAAAGATCAAATGGCCAGAAAGAACTAGAAATAAGAACCTGTGAGAACAAACTAACCAAAAACCTATTGATCAACAAAGATGTAGTTGAAAAAGGAGATATACTGGACACGCTGAGGAGACCGTTGGGTGACATCTCGCACCAGACCATCACTTGGGTGGAATGTGAATGGGAAACGACGAGTTGGGTGTGTATCTGAGGGTGACGCTGAGGAGTCTGTATGAGGAAGAGATGAGAGATTATGCCCAATCAATCGTGTGACCAGCTGATGAAGACCTCAGAGAATAGGACAAAGTGGAGATGTGCTTTTGCAGCCCTATGTTCCACTCGGAACCCAAGGGAACAATAATAATACTCACAGGTAATTACAACTTGCTACTGTTAATAGAACTTGACTTACGAATTACAATTTTAGTGTGAAGTGAATATCTTAGTAATTACTGCTGTGTAACTTCTCTAATATACCATAAGCACACTCAGAATAGTTTGTTTCATAGAATGTCTCAAACACTTTGTTACTTCATACTTTAATATTTCTTAAAAACGATTCGTAATCAGTGAGCTGCTGAACAAAGAGAAAGAGGCGGAGATCTATCTACTAAGCGTACTGATCTATGGTCAGGACCTACTGAATGACAACAGTCTAGGGTCTGATTCAAAGAACCATACGTCTAATAGATTTCCCTTTTGCATGCTAAGTCGTAAAGTTAACACTAATTCTAATTGCTGCGCCGGTGGCACAACGGTAGAGTGCTCGCTGACGACGCAGCTGGTCCAGAGTCCGATCCCTGGCCGATGCAGTCGTCTACCTCGCTAAGCCAGTGATAAGACTGGTAAAGAGGGAAGGTTGGGCAGGTAAAAATAATCACTACTGCTAAAGAAACTTCAAGCTTCTAACTTGAAGTCCTGTGTTTCACTGGGAACGTAAAGGAATAAAAAAATCTAATTGAACTATACTACAGCAACTTGAGCACTGGATTCAGAAATAAGACTCATCAATCGGTCATTAGTCATGCCAGTAGTCGTTCATTCAATGTTTTCAACAGAGTATTTATCTGAAAACTTTGGAGTTCCTCAGACAATCAAAGAGTTTAAGTGGTGGATGGTGACTAGCAGTGAAATCCCGACCTCAGACACAGCACTTCGGTCCAATCAATCCACGGGAAAACCTAAAATTCAATTAAGTCAAAGAGTTTTTCTAACATAGGATCTCATATTCCCGTAAACCAGAAGTATATATGAGTGAAACTCTCAGTATATGTTCATTTTGTCTCAGCGCTTACATTCATCCCGGAAAGAGTAATTTCGTATATGCACTAAATACATAGAAATTATTTTAAAAAAGTCAGAATAAATAGGAAACGAGAGTATTTTCAGCAAACAGTTTTATTATAATTATTATTTTGATCAAAATATAAACCATCATTCAACTGAACTCATTTTAAGGTTATTATTTTTACTATTAACTATGGTTGAATAAATTCGTACATTGCCGAAATTATTAAAATCATTTCACAGCAGAAGTACGCGTTACCTGATGAGGAAAATCATGTAGGCTAACTTTAGTTCATGTGATGATGATTAGCAATTACAAAGATAGAGAGAGACATCAGCTATATAAACTAAAATTGTGAAAGAGGATTCTAGTTTCCAATCTATGTGATGATAGTAATGCGTACGGATGAACAGAAAGGTTTTCTGTTTTAATAGAACAATAATGAATAAAAATTGCTTGTCAACAATGGCTATTAGTTTATTATTTTCAATAGAATACTGTCTCACATATAGGATATCATGTAAGTAAACAATTGTATTCTTTAATTTATATCTATAGTCTACTTATTTGAAATTCAGTAGATGTATTTAAAATGGCAAAATGTTTCGTACTATGTTTTCTTGTTTATACATGTTCCATCATACAGAGAAGATCTCACTATAGAAAAAATCCCCATTTAGAAATTTATAAAGCAGAAAGATTGAGCGAAGAAATATTTACTTTTCAGTTAGGTCCTCATCTCACTCTGGCTCTACTCTAATATATATATTTTTACGAGTTGATCACGGATTGATATCAGTTAGAGAACCATTGAAAACCAGCACTGGAGTACTGGACAGCTGTTTCATCCTAGTTTGGGAATCATCGGTAGTAAGCACCCACTGCCAGGGTTCGAACCCAGGACCTTCCGGTTACAAGGCAAGCTCGTATACCATTCAGCCACTCGGACCCGATTCAATGGCCAGCCCATGAATTCTAACTCATACCAATTCGTGATTTAGCGCGACTCCAACCAATGTCGTCGGTGGGACGTCCATCCTCACAAGTGACATCTGCATGGACCCCACTGGTCACGACTTCTCACTAGAACTCCAGGAAACTCCATCCTGTAGCAAGTCACTGGCGAGCACCAGATTAACTTTCTATAGTTTTTCTCTAACTGATATCAATCAGTGATTAACTCGTAAAAACATAGCTAACCCTTACAAACCAAACTATAGAAAATTAATATATATGTATATATCATTTTTATTACAATACACAACAATTTACCAATCAAGTGGCTATTAGTTTCTTAACAATAATTAGTCAGTGTCAACATGTCAATGGGGTGATAATTACCGAAGAAAATGAATACACACAATTACGTAATTACACAATTAATACACACAATCTGTGCACACGCTTATTCCTAAATTACTCTTCGATTTTCCGAAATTATGCATTATGTAATCCACGTGTTGTAACTATTTCTACCTTTTAATTGTGTACATTAATTTTCCTCGTTAATATCAACCCATTGACATTTTAACACTGACCAATTATGGTTAACAAACATATCACCACTTGATTGGTGGTAAACTGTTGTGTATTGTAATAAAAATGCTATATATATTAGAGTAGAGCCAGAGATGAGCATCTAGTTGAAAAGTAAATATTTCTTCGCTCAATCTTTCTGTTTATTGAGAAGAGTTGAGTAATATTAAACAAGACACATGTCCAAAAAATGAATTATGTAATAGGCAGAAAGAGTAAATAAAGGGTTGGTTAAGAAGATGTCATGCAAAAATTCAAAAAACAAGCAACAAACCATTATTAATAAAGTAGTAGAGCTTGGAATTATACTCAAGTTAGAAGGAGGGTATGGAGAAGTTTCTTCTGTGTGCATAAATTAGGCTTTTCTATCTGGCTCGCTAAGGCCTCGGCAATGTAAATTATACGGAAGCTTACCGCTGGCAGTCTTGCAACGTTGGATAGTACCATTTATCAGTTGATTGACCCTATTGTCAGAAAACTGAAATCAACCAGTCATTTAACTCTCAAGTTACCTGCAAGTGTCTAGGCGTCACGTCTCTGATCGTAATTCTTCTAGATATACCTCTTAACAGCTTGCTACTGAGTAGATGGGTAATACAGCCGTATGTTGGTTTGGATCACACCTACCCAGCTAGTGGGCGACAACTAGTTGATGCTAACATTAGGGTAGTTACATATCACTCTCACTCGTATGAAGTCAGAGCAAACCCTTGATATTCAGCATGAAATTAAGAACTTATCGATCAATAAATCCATAATTCCCACTTAGTCAATTATGCATGAGAAATGTCATTATGAAATGATTGGAAATTACAACTTATTAGATTCTGATAAGAGGCATGAAGCTTCTTGTTAGTATTAAACCATACAACCGTATATATATATATATGTATATATATATATATAAACAATTAAATAATCTGAAAAGTTCTTGTTTCTACTTCTTTTTTGTATTATTATTATTAGCTTGCTCTCAACCACTTGTACATTTTAATCTGTCTGGGGAAATTGCATCACATCATGAATATGGTGTCAGTAATTACGCGCCAAACTTATATTGTATATATCAAATTCAAGCACCTATAAATCATAAAATTATCATTCAAATTGAAGAACTTGATTTAGAAGAATCAAATGGGTAGGTTTTGCAGGTCGGCTCATTTTCATGTGCATTTTGAACTACTTACAAGTAGTGTAAAATATTTAGCGAAAATGTAGTGTTATGGTTTTTTAATTCCTACACGCTGATTTTGTTTGATTCATTAGAACAAGTGTTAGTTTTCAAGGAATTGATTGACTAAAGGTTTGATCATGATTTTACTCCCAGGCTTTCCAATTCTGCTATAACTTGTGTCAAATTGTGATCAAACCTGTAATTACAGAAAGGCAGGAATGAAGCAGGTAGTTAGAATATGTATTAAGGCCATCTTTCAACTGCATCCTTTGACTCCTGACGTCTGAATACACGGATATGATTACTATCAGCAATAAATTGTACTCCAAATGTAATCTATTTGCTATTTATGCAGTATTACACTGTGTGGTAATACCAGATAAACTTATTTAATATAGAATTATATTCTACCACAGTGCCCATATCATACTCAGACATATATAGCCTTTAAGAACACAATATTCAGCTGAGAGACTGTTTTCAACGGATTCATTATCAAGCTATCCAGTCATATATATATTCTTTCTTTGCAAGAAAATATATCCCATAAGGAAATCTAGACAAAAGTGTAAATACTTGTGACGTGAAAGACGTTTAAAATGTTTGTGATTATAATCATAGTTCACTATGAAGTGACAGAGTAACTAATGTCACATGAATAATGTAACGACAGAAGACAAGGGCCAGGCAACAGATCGTTCATTGACAAAATCAACAGGTGTTTATAGATTTTTATGTACATTATTATTAGCGTTATTGTTAGCAGAGAAGCAACATCTTCTGATTGGTTGTTTCCTTGCTGAAGGTTACTCTATCGTCTCTTTGTTGCCATTTCTTAGACAGTCAGCCATATATTTGTGAATCGTATCCACCCACGCAAAGTCTGCTGTGATTGGTTGTTGAGTTCCTCAAGGTTAAGCTTTGTTTTTGTTTTTTTTCCCATGACGCCGATTTGAGATGTAAAAACTGACGTGAACTGTTGTTTGCAATTCTGGCTTGCAAACAGCTCTCACCACAGTAATAGTTTATGGAATGTGTAGATTTCGGAAAGGGATGTAAAATTAGTACTTTTACTAAGATTAGCAGGTAGCTAAAAATATTACGCAACATAGTGACAAGCTTTTGATCTTAATGTTGTAAAGAAGGATGGAACAAGTGGAATAATTTCGGAAACTGTTTTCCGAAATGAAAATAAAAATTTTAAAAAAGTACCCTTAAAGGAAATGTAAACAGAATAAATAAACAAAACGAGAAACAAGTAAATTTTTATCCCTCTTCTCTATTCTACCACCAAGGTAGGTAGTAGGGTCTGTACATACTTCTTTTGTACACAAAGATCCGGCTTGAATTCATGAGTGGTCAAGACGTCCACTAATTTTAGAACGAAGAAAACGCGGCATGTTACCATGAATTTGAGAGATGATTTTGAAATTACGGTTGGAGTCGGTAAAGTGACAGAAGTCGATAAAGTGTTCTAGAATACAGCTTCGCACACCCTCCCTCTCACTCTGATGCTCTCATATCCACATGGAAAGCATTCTGTCTGCGCAGCGGAGGCACCTCTCTCAAAAGCAGCATCTAATGGGTTCACATGGAGGAGGCAGCTTGTCTTTTATAGGGATGGAGAAGAACTTGAAATGAAGAAAATGCGGCAGGTTAATATGCATTCTATAGATGATCTTAAAGCCATGGTCTAGATTGGCTGAGTGACAGAAATCCATCAAGTGTTGAAAATATTCTTTTCACCGAATATTTTATTCTTAATATTACAGTGAGGAATTTTTAAATTTTTGTTATGACCTGAACTACGACCCAGTAGACTTGGAGCGAATACTAACTTAATGCGCTGGCTAATCTGTTCAAATTTCACGTTAAAAACAATAGTGACAACAACATAGCCCACACGCAAAGACAGAAGAAAAGACTGAACGCTGGTAAGAGAGCTTTCCACTGTCTCAAAACCACAGTAAAAAAAAGGTTGACAGAGCTTCCGTACATGTATATATATATATATAATGACCTTGAGAGGCACTAATATCACTGATAAATTAAGACACTGAACAACCAATAGGATTCCAAAGGTCATTAGTGGGGCGGGAGAAAGTCAGGTCATAAATCAGTAAGTGGGGTGAGAGAAGTACAAACAGACATGTAAAAATAACAGGTAGTTAATCAAGCCTGTATATATCAATTTTATTTTACCCTTTTTTTCTTTCTTCCCTCTTCAGTTGTATTTTCGATTATTTATTGATTACAAATCAATATTATGATAATATTTACACGTATTGTGGTCAAAGAAAATCACCAAATCCCGTTGTGATAAATGATTCATTGGCTGTCATCATCTTTGTTACAGATGATGGAAATAATGGAAATGGTTTCCTTCTGAAGTATGAAATTCAGGAGAAAGAAGATTTAAGGCCGAATTCATTCTATTCTTGTGGGATAGCACCTCAACTCTCTTATCACCAATCCACTGATCAGGATGATAATGACGTGGCTGAATATAAAATTCAGCCGAGAATTTTCGGTGGTCAAATAACACCTTCTGGTCAATGGCCATGGATGGCATCAATCAGAGAGAAAAATCAATTTCGATGTGGTGCTAGTTTAATTGATTCCAATTGGTTGCTGACAGCAGCACACTGTTTTCCGAAGTAAGAGTTTCTTTTTTCTTGGGCGTTGGGGGAGGGAGGGGGAGGTTGAGATACTGACATGTTATTCACCTTCAGAATTTATGGGTTTCCAATTTAAGTTTGAAAAAAGTGAAAACGAACATATTCGCAGAATAAAATGGGCCAATGTTTTCTATTTCACAAGTTTCCTTCAACGGTTAGCAGCCTAGAAAATGGTATAAGTTATTAGAAGTGTAAATAACACATAACTCAAATGTCATAGAAGAAGAACATGAACAATGAGTAAAAGACGGTTAATAAAATAATCTAACAACCAAAGTTTACTTGTATATAAAATGACGGAAGGTACGAGAGGAAAAGGTGGAAGTGAAAAGAAATAGTAAACAAAAAGTAAAATCCAAGTATTCGTTTGTAGGGATTTCATCATCAGCTTACAGCGGTTAAAGAACCTTTGGAAAACCTACAGGGACGGCTGACTGTTTCGTCCTAGCTTGGGGCTCTTCATCACAACGCACCCACCAACAGTATTCGAACCCAGGTTTTCCGATGGTCCTCTAACCGATGTCAACCCATGATGAAATCCTGTAACCAATCAATCAAATCTCTACAAACCAATACTTGAATATCAATGAGATGCTCACTAGAGACTGGCACTACTCACGTAGATAGTTACCTGGGGTTCTAGTGGGAAATCGTGACCAGTAGGGTACAGCAGGTTGGGTGTGAGGACAAGTACTCTCCGAAGACGTTGGCTTTTGGTCTCTCTATATCGTCAATTGACAGAAGTTAGAACTCATGGGCCATTGGATCAGGTCCCAGTGGCTTAATGGTCTACGGGCTCGCCTTGTAACCAAAAAGTCCTGCTTTCGAACCCTGGTAGTGGGTACACACTGCCGAAGGGGCCGAAAGTAAGTTGACGAAACGTCTGTCCAATAATCCCTGCAGGCGTTTCAGTGGTTCTCTAACCAATGTCAGCTCATGATGAAATCCTTTACCCGAAAGTAAAATTACTACATAAATAATCAGTTAATTTAACTGGGAGATGAATAATGAGCTCACTTCTGTGAGTTTTAACAAAAGAAAACTATGAGATAACACAACACAAAGAAAAAGGACAGATATGCCTAGTTTCCAAGATATTCAGACATTAATCTCAATATCTTCCCGAATACAGAGATTAGGTTGCGACTGTTTAATAGCGGTGGCTTCTGCGAAGCCAGCGAAGTAGCCAGGCGTTTATCTGATCTTAACTGTGTGACACGCGTGTATTAGGAGCTTAGCGATTACACTTGTAAACGCTTCATAACTTTCATATGAAGATTGTCGCGATATTCTCAAAAAATCTAATAGATGCTCTCGTCTTAGTCGTTGCTATAGCCCTGCTACCTAAAACACTTTAGAACTGATTAGTTCAATTGAAGTTAACATGGACGGGATGCTTTTCCACTTTGGACATTTCATGTCACTATTATGTATGTAAATATCTTCTGGTTGTTAGATTATCAACTGTCTTATATTCATATCTCTTGTTTCACAACCATACTCTTTGAGATGAAATAACTTTGAGGTGTTTCATATATATATATATATATATATGTATTTATCATAACTTCTGTCACTTTAAGCAGTTAGCAGCTGATGAAATGCTTTGGAATAGAAAACATGATCTCTTTTTATCTTACAAATATGTCCACTTTCTCACTTTGTTTAAACTAACTAATGAGACGGGATGTATCAGCTTCGTTGTCAAGAAACTTAATCCTAGGATCCTATTATTTCCGAAGACGCTTTGAATCGACAACCAATAAGCACACACATATCGACTTTAATTCCAAAACACAATGGATGACAAGAAATTGTATTCTTCGATTGTTAAAATCAATATTCTGTACTAAGTCTATAAACAAATGTTTTTACAAGGAGTGTATTGTACTTTTAATCGTATTCTTTCGTCTTCTTCTTCTGACTTGTACACGACTGAATCATTCGCGCCTTCAAGTTGCCCACCAATGACGACAAAGGCCAATGAAAAAACATTCAGTGTTCATAATCATTGACACTCCCCGGCAAAAAGGGTCCATCCCTTTTTTCCTTCACGCTGGTAACCTTGAACTGGACTGCCAACGCGAGAACCTGGGCTAACCGGGACTAGGCTAAAATGGAAAAGCAAGAGAAAAAAGCTCAATTCACAACAAGCAAACCACATCACACCATTACGGTTTCTCCGGCGTGTAGGATCTCCCTCAGTGATCGGAACTTTGCTGCGCTTTCTGTTGACAATATAACCACTTATCTGGTCCTCGGGGTGTTGGTTGCTTCATGTCATTCTGGCACAATCCCCCTCCCCAGCGTATCAAATCGCCTGCAATGACTCTAACACCACTCGATTCGTTCACAGGTTTAGAAGACTAGAAACGACTTCAGAAGTACTTACAATAACATTACAAAATGATTCACACAATGTGGCAACCATAAAATTAACCAACAATTAGATGAATTGGAACCCACTGTATTATTTTAACACAAATATATGTACAATCAATACATCAAATGTCGTGGATTCTGCCTTGACGTGCTACCCTTGAAAAATTTTAGGACTTACAGCCTACAACCGTTCTCAGGCTGACGCCCTAAGTTGGAAAATCGTCGAAAAGCTCATTTACTGACCTCCTTCTATCACTTATATCCTTAACTCTTAATGGTGACACGCCCATGATATGGCATCGTGGAATGTAGATGACTAACAAGCATACGACAAATCTGACCAACCAAGCTAAGGCACAGAGTAATTTACACCAAATATGATAACATTCAAATAGTAACTTGAACCTTGAAAGGCTTTTATCCATGCAAGTCAGTTTAACAGTTGGCTTATCATCACTAAACCGGTCACGAATGGATTCACTTAAAAATGTCAACCTCACAAATAAAAAGATGGTCTCCCTAGACGTCGTCTCTCTGTTCACCAATGTTCCTCTGACAGAAACTATATGCTTTCTGTGTGACTTCATCCAATGCAACAGCGTAGATGTCGGTATACCGATGCATTATCTAAAGGAGCTGTTACTACGCTGCACCTTCAACGTCTACTTCAGATTCAACAATGAAATCTACAGGCAAACAGATGGCGTAGCAATGGGCTCTCCACTCGGACCACTCCTAGCCGACTGTTTTATAGCCAGCCTCGAAAACAACCCCTTATCATCAACTATCGACGACCTTCATCTCTACAAGAGATACATTGATGATACTTTCATCATTTGTGATGAGAAGCTAGACCCTGAAAACTTACTTCAAATCTTCAACAACGCCCACCCAAACATCGACTTTACACTTGAAACTGAATCCGACGGAATATTCCACTTCCTGGACGTCCATCTGACAAGAAATGACAATGACTCTTTGAAAAGGTCCATATACAAAAAGCCTACATGGACTGGACAATTCATCAACTTTCAAAGCTTCGTACCGCTAAGCAGAAAGAGGAACCTGATATACGCTCTTTCCTCGAGAATTCGGAAGATATGCAGCGAGGAAGTGATTGATGAAGAACTGCGTAATCTCCGAAAAACCCTGATGGAAAACGGTTTCCTGCCCAGGTTCAAAGACAAGAATCTCAAACCTAAGAAGACTTCTGAACAAGTCCAATCTGTCCCAAAGAAAATACTCCTGCTTAATCTAGAGTTCAAAGGTGATATCGAAGCAGAAATCCTTCGCAAACGCCTCTCCAAATCGCTGAGGAAAACATACTTCGCCGCAAGCCTACGACTGACGTTTTCCTGCAAGAAACTGTTCAACCAGAACGTGAAAGACAAGCTGTCGCATTGGGCCACCTCAACATGCATATACCAGTTCACTTGCTCTTGTGGAGCTGAGTACGTCGGCCGTACCATGCGCCAACTTGGAAAACGCGCTCGTGAACACTACCCAGCCTGGCTGGTAAAAGGAGAGCAAAAACGTGTATACAGTTCAGTGACAGAACATCTGGTCAACTCAGGACATCCAGCGCCTTTCGAAAAGTTCTTCAAAGTAATATACAAGATTCAATTAAACCTATCAAAGGGAGTGAAATCAAGACATTTGGGCATAACTGAGGCGTTAGCTATCCAAAAACTCAAACCCACTCTTTGTATCCAAAAGAAATACATCCAATCCCTGTCCCTGCCATGGCCATCGTAAACAGGTAATTTTTTTAATAATGACCATCCCATCGCCTTTCTTATCTAAATATCCTGTTTATTCATGTTATTTTAAGTTTTCTTAATCCCTGTCGACACTACCATATTTCCATATCCACACTTCCTGTTTATTTTGTCATTTTATTATTTCTATATATTTAATCCCTGATTGCATAAACAAACATTCATCACACTAGTTTTTTATCCAAACATTCTGTATATTATTGTTATTTTTACATTTCTAACCCCCAATTGCACAATGTCAATCTTCTTAGTTATTATGTTACTTTGTTTGAGTTTTACCCATCCCCCTGTTTATTATGGCATTGTAATTTTTATTAATTTAACCCCTAACCAGAAATTGTTCTGGAACTTTCCCATCCATTTGATATAAATACACGAATGTACAGCCTAGATGATGACTTCGTCGAAAAGAAAATTTTCTTCTCTGCAACTGTATTTTTCAAAACGTTAAGTTGAAATACAGACGCAAGGCTGCTGACGGGCGCGGAAACTGTGAGTATCGCTTGATTACACCTACGACTAAGCGACCTTTCAGCTCGCAACTTAAGCGAAAGCACACCAAAGACGAGACGGAAAGTCAGTGCATTTATACAATCACGTGTAACTCAGAAAATCACCAAGGTTATGTTCATTTTAGTCTGAAATCATGATCAATAAAATAGTGGGCGTTATGGTAAGTAGGCCAGTTCTGATTGGTTTCACTAGCAGACTGGACATCGATCACCATATCACCTTTGCAGCCTTATTATTTCACTTCTTTTCATTTCATTTGTATTGATTGTTTGGAAGTATATTAAAATTTATGGGTACACTTGCATTCGTGTACATTTGTTACAGTGGTCTACTAGACATGAAATACGCCATTGTTGTATATAACTTATGTTATACTTGCTTAGTCTTTACATGAATGGGGTTACAATAATGTACATTCGATAATTTCTCAGTTAATTCCCTTTGACCCAAAATGTTTATGTCAAGAAGATGCATATATTAATATTGGAAAAGTGTAGTTCCAGATTAAGCGAGTGAGAAGTAATGGAATTACAATTAACATAACAATAATAGTTATAGAAAAAAGTATCACAAACGAATTATATGGTAAAATAATGGGTCGATTAGTCAGCGTCCATCAAAATGCTGAAATCTGATTGGTTGGTTTTCTGTTTAACGTATAGAAAATCAATACTTGGACAATTTCATTTCTGACTGACAGACTGCCTATTAATGTGTAATTTTTTTTATAACAGCCTAGTAGTTAGACAGGTGAATTTTAAATATTCTTATTAAATGTCTAATTTTCCAAATTTTTCACCCAGGAAATTAAATTTAACCGACTGGCAAGTTTATGTTGGAGATAATTACATAGATTGGATTGATGAACAAGAAATCACCTTTAATATCCGCAGTCTGTTGATACATCCAAATTACAGTCTTCATCAGTTGTACGATTATGATTTCGCGTTGATACAAACTGACCTACCAATTCAATATAGTACAAAGAGAAGACCTGTGTGTTTACTCAATTCAACGGTGGCGATAACTAGTGATCAGTTTACAGATTGTTATATTGCTGGATGGGGTAGTTCAGAGGGTAATTTAAACTTGAAATTTCATAAAATATTGTTTTTATTTTGAATGGGGAAAAAAACAAGTGTAGAATTTTAAGGTGTGCTATTCTATCTTGTTATGTGAGTAGAATTTGGGTCAGTATGGAGAACTGCTGAAAACCGAAGGATACTGGACATCTTTTTTATCGTAGTTTGGTGAACGCTTCAGCAGTGCAGACCCACGACCCCATTAGTGATTGATCCAAGGTGAATGCAATTCTTTAAAAAAATACCACTGACTAAGGTAAGACATCTATGCAGTATCTCTTCAGGCATTCAATATTTCTATAATCTATGTCAATCTGTGGTAAAATTTCTCTTCAAATCAATCAGATTCTCTGCAAGGCAATGCTCTAGAAGTTGATAAGAATTTGTCTGTTAGATATATTAAATAGTGATTAGTGTGCCAATCATCCAGCTGGTAGAAAGCCCGGTAACCAGTCCGGGTTCGATTCCCGGCAGATATACTTTCAAACCTCTTCCAACCAGTAGTAAGCGTAGAGAAGGGGGGAAGCTAGATGTCAGGCCAGTGACCCCTCCCATGTCAGCCTCAGACACACACCGAAAACTTCGCTTCCAATTTGAGTACAATTCGAGCAGTAGTCTAGCGCGTGAAGTCATCCAACGGTCTCCTCAATGTGTGTCCTACCCATCTCCATTTTAGTTGGAATATTTGTTGACCGATAGATTCTTAATTGGATCGTTTCCAGAGTTTCTTGTGGCGACTTCTTTCCTACCGGCCATCTGACCTTCAGTATGTATCCAGCAAAGGCAAATATTGACAAAAGTCTACAGTGACCTGTTGGAAATGCTTTTCGAGATGCACCCTCCAAGTTTCTGAGGCATATCGAAGAACTGACTTAACAGTGATATTCAATATTCAAAGTTTGTTCTTTATGATGAGTGCGGAACATTTCCACAGTGATTTCAGAGTGATGAAAGTCTGTCTTGGCTTTCTGATTCTTGCCGGCTTTCGACATCCTCATCAGTGCTGTAGACTGTAGTTGAAAGGATGGTGCCCAGATAAATGAAGGAAGTGACCTCTTCTAAAATTTATCCCGTTGATAGTGAGTGATTGGTGGTTGGTTGGTTAATCATCTTCATCACCTCGGTCTTCTCTATGTTCCCCTGAAGTCCTATCCGCTTTTAACAACTTGGGGGTTATCGACTGCAGATCTTTGAGTTTATGTGATATTAGACATAAATGGTCCTCAAAGTCCACATCTTCTTGTTCTAAATCGTGCTGAAAATGTCATCTAATTAATAATATTGTGCTATATCAGTTTCTTTCTCAATTCTTCGGTTCTGAGTAGAATATCGGACTACGGGGTTAGAAGTATCAGTAGAGATAGTGTAACAACAGAAGACAAGGGCCAGGCAACAGATCGTTTATTAAGGAAATCAACACATATTTATAAATTCTCATGTACATTATTATAGATTATTATAGCAGACAAGACACAGTCTTCCGATTGGTAGTTTCTCACTGACCGTTAATCTTTCATCTCTTTGTGGCTGTTTCTTGAAGGTCAGACTATCTATCTGCAAATTGTATCCGCCTACGCAAAGTCTGCTGTGATTGGTTGTTGAGTCAGTCTTTGTTGTTGTTTTTTCTCATGACCAATATTGGGGACATAAACATTGACGTAAATTACCGTCTACCAATTTTGGCTAGCAGCCAGCTCTCACCACAATAGTATCGTTGCTAGCCTCACACTCAATTTTGTTTCTGTTCATGACTTCTTACCGGCTAGTAGACAAGGCGAGGGTTTCAGCAATGCATCCACTGTCAAGCATTTTATCCTGAAACAACAAACGCATCATATTAAGCAGACTTATCTAGCATGGAATAGTCGGAAGAAATGGAAATTTTATATCTTACTTTAAAGGAACATAATTAGGCGGAATGAAATTGTTTCTGCTTCATAGAGTTAAGGCTTTTAGGAAACGTTTTCAAAAATAAATGCAAGCATTGATATAAGAATAAAACTTGTGCACTGTGGTAGAGTATAATTCCCTTATGGATAGAATTTATTTTGATAAAGTCTCACACTGTTATACAGGAATATTTACTGATGATCACGTTTCGAGCACAATTTATTACTGCTCATAATCATATCAAGGCACTAATCACACAACTCACCTACTTCGTTCATATCATTCCATTACTTTTCATCGCTTGATTTGATTGGTGGTAATATTTTCCATATTTCCGATATGAGTGATAAGTCATTCCTAATGAATGTGTTGGGTGTAGATTCAATGAACAAGGATTCAGTAATCATCCTCTCTCTTAGATGGAGAGATTAGAATTTTAACCAACTCCCACCCTATTGTGTGGCTGTGTGTTTATGCAGGCAGTGCAATCACTGAGCTTTTTTCTAAATTACTTATCTTCGCGGGGTCAAACTAGTATGTCAGGGGTAGTCAGATTGTCGGATCATAAGAATTTAGCTAAGGTAAGAATGGTTGACCCCGAGAAGATAAGTAATTTAGAAAAAAGCTCAGCAATCGCACTGCATGCATTAACACACAACCACAATAGGGAGGGAGTTAAAATTCTAAGAAGTAATATAGGTAGGTGGAGAGAGGTTGATTACTGAATCCTTGTTCATCGAGTCTACACCCAACATATGCAACGGAAATGACTCATCACTCATACCGGAAATATGGAAAATACTACTACCAATCAAACCAAGCGATGGAAAATAATGGAATTATATAAGCGAAGTAGTGCGTCCGTGGCACAGCGGTTAGGACGCTCGCCGACCATGCACATGGTCCGGGGTTCGATCCCCGGCCGACGCACTCATTTACCTCGCTAAGCCAGAAATAATGCTGGTGAAGAGGAAAGGTTGGGCATGAGGCTAGCAACCCCATCCTGTAAAATAAACACACTGCTACGGAAACTTCAAGCCACTAGCTTGAGGCCCTATGTTCCACTGGGGAACGTGAAGGAAAACAAAACAAACAAAAAATAAACGAAGTAGGAAAGTTGTGTGAGTAGTGCCTTGATATGATTATGAGCAGTAATAATTTGTGCTCGAGACGTGGCCATCAATAAATATTACTGTATAACACTGTGAGCCTGTATCAAAACAAATTTTACCCATAATGGAATAAGTGCAAGCAAATGGGATTTCAAATTTCCCACTGGATTTCTAGATCATTTCGTCAAATTTCTTTCTCCTAGTGCTAATCGATAACCTAACAGTTTGCTTGCAATAACTAAGGATTATAATTCTCTGTAATTTAAATTTATCCTACCTGTATCTATAAGGGTGCATATGTACAGAATGTTAAAATGATCGCGAAGATTTGCACCTCAGGAGGATAATTTCGATTTAGTTGTATTCTCTGAGCTGATTGATTGAATTGCGAAGATTTCGTAGTCCTTCTGGACAACATTTTCAGCTCAAGTTTTAATATGAAGTGGAATTTTTTAAATTCTCTATGAAAGAAATCATTGTAACTCCTGAAAACCTTTTTTCTTGATTGGTTGTTAATGTACACACTTTTATTGATCATTTTATTGACTTAGAATTTGAACATTTTTGTCATGTGATTTATTCGTTACTAGTTCGTAAATTTGATCTATAGTTAATTTATAGTCTGCAGGTTGGAGGAAACAAAAGTGCTCTCCCTCAGGTATTTAAAATTTCTCTAGGTCTTACACAGTTATCTGATTTTAATTAACTTTAATTAGAATATTTTATTTGTATTAGCCTAAACTACTTGTAAGATGCAATAAGCGGAGTTCATCAAGTTGGGCGTGAAGATAGATATTTACCGATGATGTTGGCTGGCGGTCGTGCTATATATCGCAAATTGGCAGAGGTTAGAATTCATGAGAAACTGGATTCTGTTCTAGTGGATGATTATTCAAGGAGCTCGTATTGTGATCTGAAGGTCCTAGTGTAACAACAGAAGACAAGGGCCAGGCAACAGATCGTTTATGTAGGAAATCAACAGATATTTATATATTCTCATGTACATTATTATAGATTATAGTAAGCAAACGAACACAGTCTTCTGATTGGTGGTTTCTCATTGAAAATTAATCTTTCATCTCTTTGTAGCTGTCTCTTGAATGTCAAATCATCTATCTGCAAATTGTATCCGCCTACGGAAAGTCTGCTGTGGTTGGTTGTTGAGTCAGTCTTTGTTCATATTTTTCTCATGACCAATATTGGGGACGTAAACAATTCTGGCTAGCAGACAGCCCTCACCACACTAGGTCCCATTCCTAACGATGGCGTGGCAGGTGTGTAGTATTTTTTTTTGGATTTACAGCTTGATTTCCACACCGTATTTTCAGTACAAGTGTGGAACTTTCAGCATGGATATCGGTTGCCCAAATTCAGGCATACCATAGATATCGGGTGTGCGCCGGCAGGGGTTCGAACCCCGGACCATGTGCATGGTCGGCGAGAGTCCTAACCACTGTGCCACCAGATTAGGACGAAATATCTTCCAATATTTCTCCAACTAAAGTTATTTTGGAATTAAACTTGAAGCATTTGTAAGTAGCTGGTAGGTTTTAAATTAATGTGTTGATAAGACCAATGATATTCGCATTACTCATACTTTCACTATTTATCTCTGTTTACATATGAAAAGATTCGCCTGTATCAAATGCATTACGTCATCTAAATATTCCTCTGCTCAGTCTAAATGAATGTAATCAAACTGAAGTATACAAAGGGAAAATAACTGAAACAATGATTTGTGCAGGATATTTGATTGGTGGGAAAGATGCTTGTAAAGGGGATAGTGGTGGTCCGTTAATGTGTCAGTTGAAAAATAATACTGTTCATCAAATATGGTATCAAATTGGCGTTGTTTCATTCGGAAAATCATGTGCTGGTAAGTCAAAACATTATCTGAATACATCTTTGAGCATAGTGTTGGTGATTTGACCTTGTTTGACCCTCCAGCTGCTGAGATCTTTGTGTAACCTTATCTGTCATATGTTTGTGCTAACTGAAGGGTTTTCCCAAAAAAACGTTCCTTTCAACAATCTATTCGACTAAGTCATTAGCTCATTTTATTTTCAGTCAGTTACACTGATATTCTGCAAATCACTTGTGATATGTTCAGTTGATGACTGACTGGTTTAAAAATCTACCAATCAGAATTTAAAGAGTACGATAGATAGACAGACAGACATCCAATCAGATTTTAAACATTTTGCAGACGCCCACTACTTCGACCTGATAGCTGCAAGATTAGTGGTCTGCACATAACAGGATGAAATGGATATGTGTTGTTCATGCTCCAGTTCCACTTGAAACCCGAAGAAACAATAATAGTAATAATAACAGTCGATGAAATCTGCCCACCAGGGATGTGCCCAAGTAAGTCAACATAGTGAATCCACATGGATCGATGGATAGCCATCTCTCTAAATTACTTCACTGTTCAGCAGAAACCTATGAGAAGGGAAATTAACAAGTAAATTACATTTTAAGATTAAATGTTAAGAACAAAACATATAAAATAGCCAGAATCAAAGTATCATAATTATTGACGTAAACCAACGAATCAGTGTCAATAATTGAATCATTTTAAACGAACATTTGGAGTTTTATTTTTCCCGCCCTTCCGAAACACAACTTTTAAAACAAGATTTCAATTAGCTTTTACAACATCCTTACTATTCGAAACTAACAGAGAACCTTCATCATAAAATCAGGATTAAATGAATTCATAAAAACTAATTTTAGTCTAAATCCATCTTTATATCATCTGAGAATATTTAGTAATCGCAAACAGTTGTATCGATGAAATGAATACCTTTAAATTCCTTTGTAACGACAGAAAACAAGGTTCGGGCAACAGATCATTTATTGAGAAATTCAAGAAATATTTATAGATTTTTATGTTTAATTATTATTCGTTATTGTTAGCAGAGAAACAGCGTCTTCTGAATGGCTGTTTTCTTGCTAAAGGTCATTCCGTCATCTCTTTGTTGGTGTTTCTTAGACAGCCCGGTGATATATCTGCGAATTGTATCCACCCACGCTAAGTCTGCTTTGATTAGATGTTGAATTCCTCAAGGCAAGGCTTTGTTCTTGTTTTTTTTCTCATGAGCGCGATTCGGGACGTAAACATTGACGTCAATTGTTATCTACAATTTTGTCTTGCAGATAGCTCTCACCACCCTTTGACTGAGTAGTGCTTAAGCTGTTAAAATATAGGATAATCCGTTTTCAAATATTTATCTATGAAAAGTTTGACTCTATTATCTTTTAACTGATAAATATTATTGCAAAACTTCCCAACTAGACATATGGAAGGATTGAGCGATCAATATTCTTTTCCATAACTTCCTCATCTGGCTTTACAGTTAGATGTATATGCATAATATTTAAAGAGAAATTGATATTGACAACATTAATTTTCTTTTAATTCAATTTGGACTATCCTTTCGATTAACTGAACCGAAGTGTTCGGCATCAGGTTAACATGTCAGCTCTTTCTGCGTATGCCCCAACGATGTCTGACCATCTAATTTGAAGTAACCTGATGCCAAACACTTCGGTTCAGTCAATCAATGGGGAAAGTTCAAATGCACTAGCTATGGTTTTTGTGGTCCAAGTGGTCTGGTGGATAACGCTGCACAGATATGCAGGAGTTTGAGTTGCCACTCTCCCTCTTCGTAGCACATAAACCAAGAGAAGAGAGTAAAGGGACATTCAAAAGAGAAATAATAAATAGAAGTGTAAGGCAAAAAGAATAGTAATATCGAAAACAATAAACTTTTATTGGATATGATGAATCACAAAGAGTGAATGCGTCTGCACCATCCACTGATAACGATTTTTAGACATATCACCAACTGTCTCCAGCCTTCAATGGTTTGTACTATCCCGAGGACCCCAACCAGGAGGTCTGTACTTCCCTACGTGACTACCTTAAACTAACTGTTAAAGACTTTATGGACTGATGCTATGTTTTCGTTTGATCACCACTAGCTCCCTTCCAACCTCATAGACCTATGTCAGCTAACATTGGCCGTTGTCGAGGAAGGCAATGGCTAGGCTTGCGTAACACTTGTCCTAACCGCAAACATAACACAAAGCTTAATGCCTTTCAACTAAAAATGTCTGAGAATGACAGTATTCCAATAGGATAGAAGAAAACAACTACAGTATAACGTCTCTTCTGACAACAGTCTCGAAATCATCCAAGCTAATTCATTGCTGAGCCGGTGACACAGAGGCGGAATTCTCGCCAACCACGCCTCAGGTGGTTCGGGGTTCGATTCCCGGCCAACGCCCTCCTTTACCTCACTAAACCAGTAATACGACTGGTAAACAGGGAAGGTTGGGTATAAGGCTGGCAACCCCATCCCGTAAAAATAAATACACTGCTACTGAAACTTCAAGCGACTAGCTTGAAGCCCTTTGTTCCACTGGGAAAGTAAAGAAATAAAACGAAAAATAAACAGAAATTCATTGTTGTTAATAAGTTAAAAGAATGGATTCAAGACTCAATATTTTATCTTTAAAAAACAAATTATTTTTGTCCTTCCGTGTTTTTCCTGTTAGCTTCAGGGACTCCAGGAGTTTACAGTAACGTCACATTTGCTATCGACTGGATATATTCAGTTATTCATCCATGAGGAATAATCTAATTAAACAATTACATCTGATGGTGAAGACAAAATTTCAGATTGACAATCCTCTATTCAAAATATTCCAAATGTATATAGACATTATTTGAGGTATTATATTACAAAAATAAACATGAAAAGAATAACCAGCCAGTGATGAATGCTTTCAAAATTAGTATTTTATTATTCTTATCAATTAATAATCTGATTAAATACCAAATGTTTTAATTAACACGGGGGCTCTTCTCATACATTTTTTCTCAATTGCATCTCTGTGTGTTTGTAGGCATCAGCCATGTTTTGTTTGACTGCTAATGTAAAAAAGACTATTTAAATTGGAGTTAAGTAGTTGCATTCATATGTCAACACTTTCTGTCTTTATAGAGAATCCATTTAGTATACACAATCAATAATCTATACGGTCGGTATAACTTCTGGAATGGTTTTTGAGGTGATTCAAGTGAATATGGCAACAATTAGATGACACTGTCAATGGGGAGTTTGTTTCATTGATTATATAATCGTATGTGAGCAAAGTTAAACTTTAAGCACCACTAACTACCAATCAGCAAATGACCTCGAACGCACTAATCACGTAAAGGAGGCATTTTTGTATATGGAATACATATATTTATGAAAAAATGCATAAAAACTGTAGAAAAGTGTTACAGAGGATACCTTCCTCTCAAATGTGATAAAAAATAGCTCTCAGATTTAAGTTGGATAGTCAACAGAGTATAATTCCATTGTGGGTAAAATTTATTTTGATAAAGTCTCTTAGTGTTATACAGTAATACTTACTGAGCGAAAAATTGTGCTCGAAACGTTGGCATCAGTAAATATTACTGTATAACACTGTGAGACTTTATCAAAAAATAAATTTTACCACAATGGAATTATACTCTACCACATTCAATGCATGTAATTTTTTAGGTCTTCTAACCCTAACAATAACACTAATCTTTCCTGAACCAAACCCTAAAGTGAAAATATCCCTTAACTAACTTTAATCTAACTCAAACCAATCCTAATGTCGCCTTTATTACGTTAACCTAACCCTAACTTATCTTTGGACTAAATGGTAACTTAATCTTTCCCGAACCTAAGTTGAAACTTTCCAGATATCCCACTTAATAGCATAACACTTCGATGAGCATATTTTATTGATGATGACAACATTATTTGCCAGGTTTCACTATCTTGCTCAGAGAGTGTTTCAAGGTCATTGGTACAGTTGCACTCCATTGGCAGTTAGTGGTGCTTAAAGTTTAACCTGGGCTCGTATGTGCAAGTCATCTGCATTATAGTGGATGTGTTTCATCGGTTGTTACAACAAATAGGCATGCTATCATCAACGCCAATGGACTAGCATAACGAAATTACCATTATTATACATGAGAACATTCGGCTTAATTTCATAGATTGGATAGCACAACTGATGAATAACTTAAAGTTTATTTGTGACTGTAAATAATGCACCTGTTAGGTATAACTTAAAGCGTAGATCGACAATATGTCAGTCAGGAGTGAGACTGTATGAATATTGATTTCCTATACGGTAAACATATAACCAACCAATCAGATTTTGGAACATTAATAGCCAACTAAACGCTGGTCAGATAAATAACCAATCAAGATTTAGCATTTTGACAGGCGGTCATTAAACGGTCCCATGTTGCAGTATATAATTAGTCCGTGATACTTTTTTTCTATGTCTACTGTCATTATGTAATTGTAATTGCAAAACCTCTCACCTACTCGTTTGGAAATATACGTTCCCATTATTAATGTATGGGTTTTCTTGTTAGTACTAGCTCAGGTCATAGAAAATCTACTAGCTCTCATTAACATTACCTTTATTCATCGAACATAGAAACAACTTACCATTAAACATTGCCCACACTTCCACTGAGGATAAAATTTATTTTGATAAAGTCTCACAGTGTTATACAGTAATATTTACTGATGACCACGTTTCGAGCACAATTTATTACTGCTCACAATTATATCAAGGTACTCAAACAACTTTCATACTTCGTTCATATAATTCCATTATTTTTCATCGCTGGACTTGCTTGATAATAGCATTTTCCATATTTCCGGTATGAGTGATGAGTCATCCCTATTACACATGTTGGGTGTAGACTCGATGAACAAGGATTCAGTAAATAACCACCTCTCTCCACCCACCTATATTACTTCTTAGAATGTTAACCCTCTCCCACCCTATTGTGTGGTTGTGTGTTAATGCATGCAGTGCAATGTATTGCCGAGCTTTTTTCTAAGTTACTCATCTTCTCGGGGTCAAACATTCTTAACTTAGCTAAATTCTTATGTTCCGACAATCTGACTACCCCTGACCTACTTGTTCAACCTATGTAGTTGACCTAACTCACAGTCATTGCAAGGTATTTTTTAAATTATATTATTTTGTTTAATTGGGTCCACTGGGTCTTTTAGCCTACAGAGCTTGTCCCTGAGTGAGTTTGTAGATTTAAATGCCACTCTAATTCCTGCTTTATTGTGAATCCTAAGTAGTGTCTTAGATGTCCCCTCCTTATATGGTAGAACTGTAGATGCCTTATATCCCCTCTTATATATGTTATCATTGTTAGTTTCGCAATCACCTTTATTTTGCTTCTGACTTTTTTTGATCTTCCTAATGAGTTTTATAGGATAGTTATTCAACACCAACGCTTCTTCTATCTGTTTCATTTCATCGTTTAGGTCTCTTGTTCTACTACCTAGTGCGATTGCTCGGTTTGTAAGCCACTTCACTAAGCCAACCTTAACAGACAACGGATGAGATGAATCAAAGTCTAAATATCTATTGGAATGCGTTGGCTTCTTATAAACGCTAGTGTGCAGTTTACCTTCTTCTGTTCGTTTTATTTCGCAATCTAGCATCACAGCTAATTCTCCTTGTTCATTTCCCCATTCAAATGAGAATTCTATTCCTTTTACTAGTGAGTTTATAAAGTAGCGTGAGGTCAGCTACACAGGTCAAACTGGTTAATCCCGGGTAGTCAGATTGTCGGAACATAAGAATTTAGCTAAGGTAAGAATGGTTGACCCCGAGAAGATGAGTAATTTAGAAAAAAGCTCAGCAGTTGCACTGCATTAAGATTCTGAGAAGTCATATAAGTTGGTGGAGAGAGAGGTGGTTGTTTACTGAATCCTTGTTCATCAAACCTACACCCCACACGTGCAAAGGGAATGACTCATCACTCATACGGGAAATATGGAAAATACTACTACCAATCAAATCAAGTGAAAAATAATGGAACTATATAAATGAATTTAGGAAGTCGTGTGATTACCTTGATATGATTATGAGCAGTAATAAATTGTGCTCGAAACATGGTCATCAGTAAACATTACTGTATAACACTGTGAGACTTTATCAAAATAAATTCTATCCATAATGGAATTATACTCTACCACAGTGCGCAAGTTCTATTCTTATATCCATTGTCCACACTTATCTTTCATTTCCTATAGAATAGTGTCTATTTTAGGATTGCTGATTAGTTAATATTCTTATATTTACGTGCTTATCGTGTTTGCAAAATGATGAGTCGTAGCGACTTGTCAATTCGTTTTCTATCCAAGTAAACGGGCGCACATGATGACCTAACCCACCGTCCTTATCCTATTGGCTGTTACCATTTAGCTGACGATGTCTAATGGTAGCTTTGTTAATGTTGTATGCCTAGGTTAGGTTGATGAATAAACAAAGCAATTACATCACCGCTTTATGTATTACTGTGACGACAGAAGACAAGAATCAGGCAACAGATCGTTTATTGAGGAAATCAACAGATATTTATAGATTTTTATGTACATTATTAGTAGGAGAGAAACAGCGCCATGTGATTGGTCCTTTTCTCGACGAAAGTTAATTTATCATCTCTTTGTGGCCGTTTCTTTGAAGCTTAGACCATATATCTGCTAATCGTGCCCGCCCACGCTAAGTCTGCTGTGATTGGTTGTTGAGTCACTCTTTGTTCTTGTTCTTTTCTCATGACCAAGATTTGGGACGAAAACATTGACGTCAATTGCTGTCTACCGATTTGGCTAGCAGACAGCTCTCACCACACTACCAATATTGTTACTCTGAATTTCAGTAAGAAATACTATAAAATAAGATCCTTCTCATCCATGAATAGTTAAAAAACAATGGATAAGTAAAACGATTCGTAGAGAAGGGCTGTAAACGTAGCAGGAGGAAGACAGACTACAGTACTATGTCCCTCAAATTGAGATTTAAAAGTAAAAAAATTGAAGAAAAAATTGCCACACGAATGAAAGACACATCGAACCGTCAAACTGGTCATCCTGCATAAAACAACTGGCTCAGTAACACAGTTCAGTTCATATTAGACTAATTTCTGGCTCTCGCTAACTGCAGCTTTGTTTATTAATTCACATATAAATGGCGTTTACAGTACGTAGCGACAAAGGAAAGAGGTTGAGCACAATGCAGTATTGCCAGAGCGTAATACACGATTTCATATTTTGCAAATGTTTGGTCGAACTGAAAGGGGCACCCGAACAAGTAACAGACGCGGTGATCACCAGTCTCCTTCGTCAGTCTGTTATGCAACGTCTGCTAACCCTTATCTTGATCAAAGATTTATGAAGAGGTGGATCAAAAAAGTATATTTACACAAGGAAACAATTATATGAATTTATATATATATATATATATATATAATAAAGAATAACTAAGTCCACGGGCCAATGAAGTTGATGTTGTGAAGCGTAAATCCATTGGTTATCTGCCTAGATGTCGATGGGACAACTCTGATTAGTCCATTTACCAGAGAAGATATTGGTCCACTTATCAACCTCCTCAGAAGTAAATACATGGTGAGAGTTGTCCGCTATCCAAAATTGTAGACAACAATTTACGTCAATGCTCACCTTCCGAATCATGAGAAAAAACAATAACAAAGTCTAACCTTGAGGGACTCAACAACCAATCACAGCAGACTTAACGTGTGCAAATACGATTCGCAGATATATGGCTTATTTTTTTAAGAAACGGCCACAAAAAGATGGCAGATTAACTTTCAGCAAGAAAAAAACCAGTCAGAAGACGTTGCTTCTCTCCTAACAATAACGAATAATAATGTACATATAAATGTATAAATATCTGTTGATTTCCTCAATAAATGATCTGTTGCCTGGCCCTTGTCTTCTGTCTTTACACTAGTAGTAGGAAGTCATTGCCAAATTATTCAAGATATTTCTAAATATTTTACGGTGGAAACTACAGCTTCTGCAGCGGAATTCTCACCTACAATGTTTGGTTGATTTCTGTGTTCACATTATCAAGAACAGATAATTAGTTAGAAAATCCCTAAAAACCACGTGGCACTGAACAGCTGATTTGTTCCAAGTCAGGACTCTTCATCAGTTCACACCAGCAAACTTACTGGGAAATAATACAAGTTATTCAGCTTACGGCGCAATCGAGTTAATCATTGAATTATTGGTTTTAGGTTCAACAAGCTGTTGGACTTCTGTCAATCTACTCCAGACCAGTGAACATCCATTTGACACTCTACATGATGGATTCAAGTAACCATGTCTTCTCATAAGAACTTCAGGATGTTCATCCTGTAGATTTGCATCATTGGATATCAGCTAGCTGTGTGAACGGTCAGTAAGTCCATCCCATGACCTGGTATCGGGTTCTATGTCTGCCTCTGGTGAGGAGTACCAAACAATGACATAGTAGCTATCCAATGCTCTGCAACTTCTCTAACTGACACCAGTTTGTAATGAAATTTACATTTAAAGACTATTGCATAATTAATCGGAACAGTGAAAAACACTCCAATATTAATCAATAGTATTTTATGTATACTATCATGAGGTAGGCATGCACACACGCACCCATACATACATACATACATATTTCTTGTGCAAACAAAGACTTGAAATTATAACAGAGTTCATAAGATCAAAAACAAAAAAAAAGAGAAAACGGAAGTGAAAACTGACAAATAAATAAATTCAAGAGGATTCTCTCTTCCATTCTCTGTGCTGTGGAACACATTTGCCACCTATGAATAATAACAACAATATTGAAAGAACAAGCTATTTTATATAGATATCATTAGGATAATCTCACTAATATACAATATATTTATAATGTAGAGTAGTATAGCGTGTAAAGAAACAGAAGATAGTTTGTTTTTCTGAAGTGTAATTCAATCTAACATGACGTGATAAAAAGTCCGAACGTAAAAAAAAGAAACAATAAAAAAACAGAATAAAAACTCATTCACGTTATAATTTCTTGAGTAAATTTGTCCAAAAAAAGAAGAGAAATTATTTAAGTACTTCTTTATTCATCACACACTACATAAGCTACCATAAATATGTACACAGCACTGGGATCTGCAGCTCACTTTTCATCTTTTTGTACAATTTACACGAAATACGCATTGCCCATCATATTCGCATGATTGCTGAATTGTGATTGGACCATTCAGAATCAATAAAATATGTGTCTGTAAGACAGACATATTCAGGCATAAATATATTGATTTTTTTGGCAGGCAACGATGATTGGCTGTTAGATATAGAGTAAGAAACCATCTGCGAAACACGCATGCATCACGAACGAGTAAACAGATACATAATTTAATCTGAAGACTTTAGATACCATACGTTGCATGTTAGGACAAAAAAAATCTGAATCAACCAACATTCGAAAAATTAAAGCAAAGCATAATAAAACTTTTTTTTTTCTTTCCAACTTAAGTGAAATTTAAAAAAAATGAAAATGAAGGGTATTACAGATCACAGCCGAGTACACTTTTGAAAAAGTGTGGAGAACAGTAAAATGTAATATGTATATATGGGCTAATTTTGTACATATCATTTGAGAAGAAATTAAACAAAGTTAAAGGTTGGATTTCTCATCTTCAATAGTGACTAATTTGTGCATTTGGAAGTGATATTCTTTAAGGAATCACCATTGGAGGAGCCATTTGGAATACGACTAACTAAGTTATCAAGATTATTATTATTATTATTCATTACAGGATGACACGCGGAAGCGACAGGCAATCGTGTATCCAACAGTAGGGTACCATTGGCATCTTTAACTCGTAGTCGTCCAGAACTGTAACGAGTTTCATGACGACCATCAGGAAAGACAGTTTTTGTTGTACCATCGGGATATATACGACACTGTGATATACAAGAAAGGATTGATAAAAAAACAGAAATGCAAAATTACAGTTATTCTAATGATAAGACTGTACTGAACATAGATTAAATAATACCTCAGAAGTGTGTGATAACGATAATTTGGTGTTACTGAATTGTGATTGGTGATCTTGAGACTGTAGGACAGACATACAATTTTAATTTTTTTTGGTGGAGAGCAATGTTTATTGTTTGTGAATAGGACGAGGAAGATTAACACACAGGTATGCATGAAAGGAGGATAGACTTGTGAATATTGTTAACGAGTGATCTAGAATATTTTTGCTTGGTGATAAAAAAATTTTCAGGATTGATTAATTACTTCGAGTACTTGTAGATGGTTATCATCACTAGAGAATGGGAGACCCAGAGCAGGGACAAAACATTTGTCGAGTATCATGTTTTCATTTGACCAGTGTGAGGAATGTGTAAGGTCAGATGAAATGGAAATGGATTCTTCAAAGTGTATCTTGAAGAATCAATAATCTACTCCAGTCACCCAGACGACATACACGAGCAAAACTGAGGGAATGGTTGTCATGCAGTTACCGACAGCATCGACAGTTCGTATGCAGTGGGAATCAGTCTCCTTCAGGGCAATGACAGTAAGTTTCAATACAAAAGAAAAGACAGAAGGTAATTCTAAGACATACTGTCAACAGAAGCAGAACAGCTGCCTTCACTCCATACTGAAGATCAGATTTCCAACCAGAAAGTGTAACCAAAAGAAACTCTCACAAAGAACCACCCAAAAACCAATTGCAAATGTAATTGAAGATGAATTGGACACATATTGAGCAGACTGTTGACTGAAAACACGAGGAGCCAGGTAAACCCTTGAGTGGAACCCAAATGGGAATTGATAGGTTGAGCGTATATTCGACAGTAACATAGAGGAGAATGTGTGACCAGGAGGAAACAAAACCGTACGGGGCAATTGTGGAGACAGTTAAAAATGATGGCAGGTAACAGGATGAAATGGAGATATGCTGTTGAAGCCCTATGTTTCACATAGAACCTAAGGTAACATAAATAACACTCCACTCGAATCTAGGAAACTTACTTTAATTCCAGAATTGGAATGAATTTCACGCTGACCATTAGGTAACAGTATCTCCTTATCACCATTACTTAATCGTCGGCATATTTGTTCATTTGGTAATGATTTCAATGAATCAACGGCAGCTGTCGGAGGATTTATCTGCTGCAGTGCATGAGCATGTATAATTTCTTGGTGTCCACTAGAAAAAGAAAACAGTGGTGAGTGTCAGTGAGCACATAAAAATAAAGAAGGCAAATACAATTCGTATACTTACCATTACAATTAAATATGAATAACAGATAGTCATTATAAGTGCTACAGTTTAGTTGGTATAATGAAGGGGCTAATTAGTAAACTTAGTAATTAGTGATTTAACCATCATTATGAATTGCTTTCTATAACTAGCTACTGTCTTTTATAAATAATTGTTCAGCATACAATTAGGAAACTCAAAATGAAAGCCTAGTCCTAGTCGGGACATCTATCAACCAAATATACTAATAAAATTAAGAGAAATGGTACTTTCTCTAAGCATTCTGAATCAGGTATGAAGCATTCACGTTGACAAGCAAAACACTGGCCTTTTTTGAGGACTAATGGTACTACACAGTTGCTCCCTCAAGGTTGAAGTAGGTGAGACTGGACCTCAAGCGCTTTAGTAAATTAGTGACAATTTCAATGACATTGTAACAACAGAAGACAAGGGCCAGGCAACAGATCGTTTATTGAGGAAATCAACACATATTTATAGATTTCAATGTAAATTATTGTAGATTATTGTTAGTAGAAAATACAGTCTTTTGATTGGTTGTCTCTCACAGAAAGTTAACCTTGCATCTCTTTGTGGCTGTGTCAGATCATCCATATGCTAACTGTATCCGCCTACGCAAAGCCTTTGTTCTTATTTTCTCACCACCAATATTGGGGACATAAACATTGACGTCAATTACTGTCTACCAACTTTGGCTAGCAGCCAGCACTCACCACAACATGAATCACAGATGTACAATTGAAATAAACGAAATGAAGATGTTGTCAGCAATGCAGTCAAATAAACTTCTTCAGAGAATGTTGAAGAAATTACAGCGTCAAGTGTTAACACCAAGGTCATTACATTATATATACAGTGAACAGTGTTATTAATCCAGCATGTGTCCCATCCATTTCCATTTCCATCCTTATACTAGTTGGACGACAGGTTCCTGACGCGTTGTTGCCAGAGTTCCTCACTGTTGATTCGCTCAGTCTGTCTGTTTTCGACATAGAACTTTGCACATATGTGCGGCAGTTCAAGTCACCACACTCCAAGTAGCACACAAAGCAAGAGAAGAAAGTAGGAGAAATGCATAGTATAGACAGTAAACAGAGGTGTGAGGCAAAGGTATAGTAATAGCGAAGAACAAAACAGTTTCATTGGAAATCATAAGTCACAAGGAGTCGATGCATCTGCGCCATTGAGAACCATTTTGAGCCATGTCAATAATTGTTTCCAACCATTGGGTTTTACCGTCCCGAGGACCCCAACCAGGAAATCTACACCTTCCTACGTGGCTTACACTGACTGTTGTGGATTCATTGACTGATGAAGTCATGTTTCGGTTTGACCACCACTAGCTAACTCTTTTTTTAACCTGATCGTTATCGAGGAAGGCGATGGCTAGGCATGCATGTGTAACACATGTCCTACCCATCTCAACTGATGCAAATTCACAGCCTCGACGGTTGATTTCCCCTCCTTAACGATGTCTCACCTTAATATTGCTCACCCTATTAAACCATCTAACATGGGAGATAGAACGCGGGCACCTATGATCAAAGACAGCTAACCGGCCTGTTCACGTCTTCCACTTTCAATGGCCAGCTCTCATAACCATAAAGAAGGACGGAGAGGACTATTGAGCAGTACACACATCCTTTGGTCGACAGCCAGCCGGATATCACGTCTACGCCAGAGGCGGCGTAAACTGGCATATGCGAAACATAACACACAGCTTAATGCCTTTCAAGTTACAATGTCTGAGCATAATTAGTATTCTAATAGGATAGAAGAAAACAACTACAGTATAACGTTTCTTATGAACACTTGAGACTGAAAACAGTCTGGAAATCATCCAAACGAGATCATCATTGATGTTAAGTTAAACGAATGGATTCAAGATTCAATATATTTATGTTTAAAAAAACAAATTATTTTTATGTCCTTACTTGTTTTTCCTTTTAGCTTCAGGAACTCCAGGAGTTTACAGTAACGTCACATTTGCTATCGACTGGATATATTCAGTTATTCATCCGTGAGGAATAATCTAGTGAAATAAATACATCTGATGGTGAAGAAAAAATTTTCTACTGACAATCCTTTTTTCAAAATCATCCAAATGTATATAGACACTATTTGACGTATTATATTACAAAAATAAACATGAAAAGAATAACCAGCCAGTGATGAATGCTTTCAAAATTAGTATTTTATTATTCTTATCAATTAATAATCTGATTAAATACCAAATGTTTTAATTAACACGGGGGCTCTTCTCATACATTTTTTCTCAATTGCATCTCTGTGTGTTTGTAGGCATCAGCCATGTTTTGTTTGACTGCTAATGTAAAAAAGACTATTTAAATTGGAGTTAAGTAGTTGCATTCATATGTCAACACTTTCTTTCTTTATAGAGAATCCGGTTAGTATACATAATCAATAATCTATATTTTGAACAAAGCAAGAACTACAATTTTAGAAGAATAAAATGGTACCATCTTTTATTTCGTTGCCTTCTCGTCAGCTGCTTACAGGGCTAAGACATTATTAAATATATCAACAAAAACAATTTTAAAATGAACTCTGTGCAAGTATGTTAAAATTGTTTCTGTAGATATATTTAATAATGTCTTTGCCCTGTAAGCAGCTGACGAGAAGGCAACGTAATAAAACATGATACCATTTTATTCTGCTAAAACTGTAGTTCTTGCTTTGTTCAAATTCATTAAGGGGAATAAATGTATGAAATAATCTCTATGGTTAGTATAACTTCTGGAATGGTTTTTGAGGTGATTCAAGTGAATATGATCACAGTTAGATGACACTGTCAATGGGAAATTTGTTTCATTTATTATATAATTGTATGTGAGCAAAGGTAAACTTTAAGCATCACTAACTACAAATCAGCGAATGACGTCGAACGCACCAATCACGTGAAGGAGGCATTTTTGTGCATCGAATACATATATATATATATATATATATATATATATATATATAAGAAAAAAAATGCATAAAAACCGTATAAAGTGTTGCAGAGGATACCTTCTTCTCAAATGTGATAAAAAATAGCTCTCAGATTTAAGTTGGATAGTCAACAGAGTATAATTCCATTGTGGGTAAAATTTATTTTGATAAAGTCTCTTAGTGTTATACAGTAATACTTACTGAGCGAAAAATTGTGCTCGAAACGTTGTCATCAGTAAATATTACTGTACAACACTGTGAGACTTTATCAAAAAATAAATTTTACCACAATGGAATTATACTCTACCACATTCTATGCATGTAATTTTTTAGGTCTTCTAACCCTAACAATAACCCCATTCTTTCCTGAACCTAACCCTAACGTGAAAATATCCCTAAACTAACTGTAATCTAACTCGAACCAACCCTAATGTCGCCTATATTAGGTTAACCTAACCCTAACTTGTCCCTGGCTTAAAGAGTAACTTAATCTCTGCCAAGCCTAAGCTGAAACTTTCCAGATATCCCATTTAATAGCGTAACACTTCGATGAGCATATTTTATTGACGATGACAACATTATTTGGCAGGTTTCACTAACTTGCTTAGTGAGCGTTTGAAGGTCATTGGTGCGATCGCACTCTGTCGGTATCTACTGGTGCTTAAAGTTTAACTTGGCTTCGAAAGTTTTCTGCCTTATGGTGGATGTCTCATCGGT